GCGGCTGCCCGTGCGGAGGCGGGGGCTGCAGGGGCTCTGAGCGCTGTCAAACCCGTGTCCTTGGAGGGTAGGCTGGTAACGCAGAGCTTCTTGCCACAGCCATCCTGAGCTCAGCCTGTCCTGCCTTCTGTGCCCCTTCCCCGGCTGGAGATCCCTCCTCTCCTTTCCGGAAGGCTCAATAGAGTGCCTGGCTGGGGCAGGTTAGAGAAATTAACAATGAGTCCTGGCTTGTCGCTACAGCAAGAGGAATCTGACTAAACTTAAATGTGGTTTAAGCCGGAAATAAACTGCAGGAAGCAATTGACAAACATCCTTGCCTCCTCTCGCTTTCCTTTCCGGAAGGCTCAATAGACTGCCTGGCTGGGGCAGGTTAGAGAAATTAGCCCCGCACCTGTTCAAAGGAGGCACCTTTTGCATGGAGTTAAGCTTAAAGGCAGCGTGTGGTAATAGACACTCTATTACCCTTGAAAACTCCTTAGGAAGGTACCCCAGGGGAGGGCAGCATATGGCCCATGGAAAAAAACCAACGCCGGCAGTGTTTCCAACAATGTTGCAACAGCTCTGTTTCCTTGGTTGAGTACCAGATGAAGTAGTCGGTTTGCATTTCAGGGCCATGATGTACGAGAATTTATATATCTTTAAACACTTTAGAATCACAGTGAGATGAGATGCTCACACTGCAAGAGGCATGTGGGAGCTGAGACAGGCTGAGGGAGGAGGGAGGAGGGAGGATTCGCCGCCCGTGTCCTGCGCTCATTGCTATTTAAACAGATATTTGTTTCCCTCTCCTTCTCCCCAGTGCACGGTGTTTGATTCACGTGCCTGGAGTGTGGTCCCAACACAGTGTTTGATTCACGTACCTGTAGTGTGGTCTCAACATTTCAGAGGTTGCAGGGTGCTTGCATGCCCACTGATGTACTGCGCAGCCACAGGAACGCCTAGAAATAGATCATTATTCCCATTTAGCAGATGAGGAAACTGAGGCCCGCCATGGTTAGAAGCACATTAAGAATAAAGAGCACACCCAGCTCTCTCTCGTGACTCCTAAGTGTTGATCTCTCAGCCACCGAGTGAAGCCCTAAAGATGACGGGCACACAGTAAACCTTAAGCAACAATGAGTCCTGGCTTGTCGCTACAGCAAGAGGAATCTGACTAAACTTAAATGTGGTTTAAGCCTGAAATAAACTGCAGGAAGCAATTGACAAACATCCTTCCTCAGTGATTTTATGAACAGAAACTGGCGAGCAGAGATGCAGGATTAATGGGAGGGCTGGGGACGGGGTCCATGTTCCATGGAGGTTCTGTCCAGCCAGAAGTCTCCAGGAGGCTTTAGGGTCCCAGGCCTGGGCTCTGGCCAGCCGACCAGCCACTTGAGCTGCAGCCAATGAACTGGAAATGGGTTCTGACAGCACACACAGACACAGCCACGTGCCTGTGAGTCCGTGAGGAGAGCAGGTCTGTGAGTGATGGCGGCAGGCTGCTAGAAATTTCATATGTCGCTCAAACAAATGAAGAATCACAGAGCGTCAGGGAGAGCCTGGTCCTTGTTTTCCAAAGTAACCTCTGAGCAACCCTAGATGCCCTGGACGCATGTAGATATTATGAAAGGAAAGAGTCAGTTCGGGGGATGCCAGGTTAAACAGCATCGAGTAGGTGCCTTTAATGGTCCTCAGAGCCTTTATTTAATAAGGTTATGTGGATCACGACTCACCAACCAGAGGCAGCGAATCCACTTTGCGCAGAGTCTCCTGAGACTAATATTCTAAAAGGCAAACTTCAGGGAACCTTAATCTAGTCCAGTCCCTTCTTCCAAGGAGAGAGGTGGAAGCCCAGAGATGTATAGTGATCTGCCTGGGGCTGCACAGCTCCTCGGTGCCAAGCCAAAACTGCAGCCACAACTTGAGCTCCTTCCAGTGCGGCTCCCAACCCGGGGGATGATGGCAAGTCCAGTATGGGCCCGAGTCCAGGAAACGGTGGGGCCCGGGCAAGAAAATGTCCCAGCTTTAGCCTTTCAGCCCCTTCATAGCCAGGTAATGTAGGTACTGCCGTGACTCCTGTGCCCCAGCTTGGAGGCAGAGAGCACATTGTTATGACACATGGTCCAACCGATAACCTTCTCCCAAGACCCACAGGGCTTTCTGAGTCATGCTCCCAAGAAATGGAAAACCGAGGAAGCACAAAGCAGTCTTCGGGTAGCCTGAGTCCCCTGAGGGGAGAGAAAGAGCCACAGTGGTCCCTCAGGAAGGCTCCGAGGCCTGCTTCCCGTGCCCCAAGCCAAGCACCTGTGAAGGCAGGCTGGCTCTCCCTGTAAGTGGCGCTGAGAGCCATTATCTGTGAGCTGAAGGCTGCAGAGGGGGGCTCCTCAAAGATTCTCTCCTTCCTGTCTCCATCTCCTCTTGTCTGTGTCCAGTTTAGGAACTGGACTGTGGGTGTGGGAAACACATACTGGATTGAACTGAATAGAATGCCTCCGGATTAAAACGTAGTGCTCTCAAGACTTGGGCCGAGGTGCCAGGAGGGGCGGCCCTCTGAAGCAATTAGCCGAGCAGATTCATTTAATAAGCACCTCGGAGCAGAGTTCTTAATGGCTATGACTCGAAGTGGGAAACTTTTGATAAAGAAGCCACATGGAGGAGGACAGGCAGGACTGGGGGTCCAGAGAGAAGGTCCAGGGCAGTGTAGGGTCACGAAGTGGCCTGACACCTTCAGAGTATGATGTTGATGATGAGGGGCCACTGACGACTTCATCTGTCTTAAAGTTCTGTCTGGGGCTCGTGTTGCTCCCGTGACCGAATGGAGCCTGGGAGGAAGAGAAGGACAGTGACGCCCCATGGGAGAGGCATGTGAGGGGTGCCTGCCTCCTGGGCTCACAGCCCAAGACCTCTCACCAGTACTTCATAAACAGCCAGGCTGGACGCCTCCAAGGATCACACAGCTAGTCGCAGAAGCTCGGCCAGGGCTGCGCTCAGAGGCAGCATCCACCCCACGTCTGTGTGAAGTACTT